CAAAAATTGCTAATTTTATCGATGTATACCTGATAAAATGACATTCAGAACTATACAAACTTGTCGGTTGGGCTTCAGCTAGAACCGGTATCAGGCACAGATAAATCAGAAACACTTATGACGGTCTCTTATCAGGTCAATTCAACAACAACAACAACAACAACAACAACAACAACAACAACAATGACTAACTGGAAAGTGAGGTGATGATAAATGGATCAAAACAATTAGATAAGTGCCGAGTAGAAAATACAACTAATCATATTGTCAACAGTAAATGGTAGAGCATTGCAACAGTAATGCGCAAAAGAAATCATGTGAACATGCTGNCGCTTAAAACTAAGTGGTTTGGTGCAACCTCGGCGAACGACTAGTAGTGAGTAGTGGATGGCTATTTGTCATTTGTGGATGGAATACGATTCTCCTAGACCTACACTGCCGTTAAGAAAACCCTTTGGGATCACTTTATCTTCGTCTACCACGTGAGGAAATTCTGATAAGTTAATGTTCTATATTCCTGGATCATGCGTTACGTACCTGGTCCAACTTCCTAGTCCTGTGCTGAGCGAGTTAAAATTCTTCCATAGAAGCAAACGAAGGTGTCTTGATCAGCCGTTCAATGGGGATCCAGTGGGTAGTATGCTTATGTTCTACCTATACTGAAGTCCCGGGTTTCATCATTCGTTTGTTTTTTGCTCGATCGATCGAGTCTTACTGCTTATGGGATCAGACCAGATAGACACAGTCGTACGATGTGTGCATACCAGTATTTTCTTTTACTCTCCGTTTCTTCTGAACTCAACGAACTATGGCATTTGATCGATTTACCTCCCGTTTGCCAATTACTGGCCTTGTTGTCGCACTTGCTGCATTTCAGTCACCGTTTTAGTCGATTCATGGGTGAAGCAGTGAAAAAAGCAAGTCGCAGGGAAGTGCGAGGATGTGGATAAACAAGATATGCATGCCTAGATAAGTGAACACACTCACACGTGGGTTTCCTCGCTTTGACGATATTCAGCCACTGCTACACTGGTTCGGAATTTCAATTTTACCTGTGTGATCCCTGGTCCAGATTTTCACAACCCCATGCCTTGCCATCAGTTGACGGTCATTCACCTTAATTCACCGTTTCGAAGCCTTGATATACAACACATATGGTGGAAGCTAATCCGATGAGATACGCGACACATTCCATGAAGGTCAAGCGGTTGACGGTAATTATCGACTAATTTTCACCTACCTGTGACATTGGCTCTTCGGTCAGCTCCAACAAACCTATTCGAATCACAATGTATTCTGACTGTGCAGACACATCTGAGATCTGTTCTTCCGAAAGTACACAGCCAGCGGCCAAAGTAGCGAACTTTCCTACTCTCTCTCGATCTACTTGCTGTCTTTCTGTTAGGAGCTGTATCAACCAAAGACTATACAGCTGACTTCTAAACTTCGTCAGTTCAAAGAACACGTGGAACGTAGGGAAACTAACAGTAGACCTATCCAAGATAGCATGCAGATCTGACTACTTCAGATTGACCACTGCAAACTGCTCATCGCGCCGGAACACATCGCCATTTTCCTAGCACGGGGGCATAGCCATTTCGAAAACCCAATCTGACTGCACGTTGAAGTGAAAAGGGAAGTAGATGCCACTGGTTCGAAGACTGCTTTTGTTCCCCTGGATATGAGAACATGCAGTCTAGGAAAGAAATACTATTTTTGTGCTGCAATCTGACAAATGATGAAACTATAGTCAGTCCGTCTTCAACTTTGTCTCACACCAGTAATATTCACGTGTGCCAGATCATCTATCTACAATGTTTCATGCTGGTGAGAAGCTGTTAGTCAATGTTAGTCGAACTACCGAATCAGTGGTTCTCACAATAGGGTCTGTCCCTGGGTACCTCCTGGCGCTAGTTACCTAGTTATGCGTGCACGACAGGTAACCCTGACCAGTCATACTGTATCCAGGTAACGATTGATCTCATAAAACTTGATTGAAAACTTGATGAATAGATGTTATTTTTAAACCGGATTGCTATCTATTTGTACCCGTGTGTAAAGAGCATTTTGTTGTCTTACGATTGTCACACCTATAACTGACGTTGAAAATGGGGATTTATGTTTTTTTAAGACATTAGACAAGCGTTAGTAGCGAAACAGGTGTGTACACTACAGTCGAAATACAACGTAGGGTGAGGGGAACAATACCATGGCCCTACCCGCTTAAAACATTGGACGCAGAGAATAGGAAATCTGATGCAGTTCTCACGAGTTCGATCCACACCTGTAGGTCCTTATCTCGAGATCGATCTCCTGCTTTCATTCACAAACACGCACAACTATCAGACTGTCATTTTTCATTCCAGCGTGTTTATGCGACAGCCGAATTGTCTTTTGNGGGGGGGGGGGTGGCGTGTACTCAAAGCGTTAGCTTGACTTGACCGAACAAAGATCATCCACAACAAATTGTCTGACACTCATACACTACATAGGTGGTGGTTTGGCAACTGGACTTTTTGTTCTGGGTCTTAAACAATATTGATCAATTACTAAAACCCGTTCGACTTTAATCTCATGTGTGTGTGTGTGTGTGTGTGTGTGTGTGTGTGTGGACACATCTGGAAACGCTCGTACTCAAACGCATACGCACATCTACTTACATCTACTGAGGGATTGATGTGGATGAGCACTAGAAACGAGGCATCCTCAAAAGGAACCCAGTCCACAGTCATTTTTGAATAGTTACCAGTGCATGTGGTCGAGGATACGATCGCACAGGCTTCCGAACGGTGATTTCTGCCTGAATGATTCCTCTCTCTCTCGCTAACACACACACACACACACACCGACACACACACACACATGCTTTGCTTCGTACTCACACATGCGTGGAGTAAGAAGAATGCACAGAAGAAGAAGAAGACGACGAGAGAATCCAGAGACAGCCCGAGTAGGTTGCGAAATTTGAGGCCGATTGGATTGAATCGTGCTCTCTACTGTGCACTGATCACGCACGGATGCCTTCCCCGGGTGATTACCGCAACTGAAGTGGTTGGCTGCGTCCGCACTCCAGTCTCATCCCCCAAAACCCCATCAAACAGAGCTTTCACCGGGCATGCAACGGATGCCCCGTGGGGAGAGCGCTGTTTGGGGGCGGGTGTGTGTGTGTGTGTGTGTGTGGATAATTGAATGCACTTACCGTTCCTGATCACCTTGAATTCGAACTATTTTTAAACTGTACTATCCTCCAAAGGGATACTGATTGAAGTGTGAACGTTCTCATCCACTCTGGGTAGGGAAGTGGAAAAGTGGAGAAAAGGGACTGTATCGTGGCCCAACACTGTCTAGCATGCTGAGCTACCTGTCGCTCTCTCTGTGTTCACTCCCCCCGGGGATGGGGGCCGGGCGGGGGGGGGGGGGA